GTAAATACATCTAAATGCCACTTCAGATGCAGCTTCTGTGTTGATTTCATTTGCTTGGTAACAGCCCAAATGTCTTATTATTCTAATTCCCTGATTAAATGTAAGAATTTGACTCAAAAGATAATGGACACTTTTAGAAAAAATGGCTTTATAAAGGTAAAAATGCCCATAAAATGCAAAAATCATTTTAAACTTATTGGAAAAGATTAATTTCTATCAGTATGAACTGACCACCACACAGAATATGAAGAATATTAAAAACATTAGGAGTCAGCTGTCTTCGGCAGTCCTTAAGGTACCAGCACAATAACACTCTCAGCAAAATATCGTCTAATTATCGTCATCGATAAAATCCCAGAAAATATCGAGATATTATTTTTTGTCAATATCGCACACCCCTAATCATGACAATAATTTTCTCTCAAAACAGACCAAAAGATGCTTTGCAGATGGATGGGCTCAGTTTTCTGAAGCTTTGAGCTGGGAGAGTTTCTTGCTAGCCACAGCCAAATATACTACTAAAAAAAAATTTTTTTAAATAAAAAAAATAATAATTTTTAATTAAAAAAAAATCAAATGTCTTTTATATGCTGAACTATCTGAAGAAGTTTTAGGTGTAGCCTGTTTATATGTAAAAAGTGTGACCATTCGATATTGCAATCTCTGATTTTAAGAATGCAGAACTTAAAAAACAAAAACAAAAAAAAAAACAGATCTCAGTGAACAGCAATTTGGACATCACATGCAAGTTTGAACAATTTTAATTTTTTTATTGCATATTAGAGGCACATTTGGAACATTCAGATTTAATATTAGCAGATTTCAAGAGCATCACATTTGCGTTTGAAAGATTCAAAACAAATGTTCAAAGCATTTTAGAGTAAATGGAACATGTGAATCATTTCGGGCAAAATATGCACGGCCCTGAACGGTTATTTAAACAGTTTTCTTAAAATAATTTTGGGTGGGTGAAGGGGGTGTATTGGAACGTTTACAGTTTCGTGGCATCATAAAGCCTAACAGAACGTTCAAATCCAGATGTGGATTCTGGAACACCCTAAGCGTTTCCGGATATCTTGGAACGTTCACAGATTTTAAGCACCACGTGTGTTTTTGAACAGTTTAAAAAATGAACCATTTTTTGCCCATAATTGCCGTGTTGGAATGCTCGACTGTGGCAACATTTATTAACGCGACTTTCATGCCCAAAAAATGCTGTCTAGGTAGGCAGCTCTCTAAGTTTTGACACACAGCCAGAGACTGAGATGAGAAATACATAGATGCCAATGAGGCAGGTGTGAGTTATATCCCAGTATTCTCGTATTCAGAACTCTCTCTGCAAAACAATTTGATATTTAGCAAACTAAATAGGCAAAACAAACATCACCATATTTAACTGCTGGCATCATTCTAATCATGCATATAAATCAACTGTGCTTACCCTAGCCATCATCTCATCTGTAAGCTTAAAATGATTAATAAACGCATTGTTACCTTCTCCAGCGGCGGTCTGATGGTGTATCACGGGCTCGTTATGGCTGCATGGGCCGCTAATCGACTCTCTGTCCCGGTCTGCCTACAATACAACAAACCCCAGGATCAATACATTTGCATTAATCGCTGCCATAGAAACTCTTTGATCCGTGCATGAACGAAAAGCCGAGATCTGGCTGCTTATGCGCGAGGTGTGAGTTTGTGTGACCACTGATTTTGTGCAAACCGCTACGTTAGCAGCCTGCGCTACTTTCTTTGACAGAAAAATAAACAGAGCTTTCAAACGGTTTTGGAAGCCGTTATCTTTTCGTTTACCCGTCAACTCACCCTTTTAGCGAGCCGCTTTCTCTGTAAGGAGGAGTAGCGTAAAATCCGAGCGAAACGGATTATTCGCGAGTGGGTAAAAATCGATTTTAAACAATATTTTCCTTCCCACTCTAGCCGAATTACAGCAGCAGACGACGGCCTCCAGCGCGCGCAACCTAACTTAACGCACGCAACAAGATACATGCTCTGCATAAGCCCCGCCTTCCAGCTTTCTATTGGACAAACGAGAAGCCCGTCATGAATGCTCTTCCCGTCGATTGGCTTATAAAACCGTCGATCTCGATCAAAATTGAATATGCAAACTATAGTCGATTTCTATTGGCTAATCAAACTGCGTCTTCTAATCAGTGTTGTTTAGGTTCTGGTAGGAGGCAGTGGTTTGTCAATGTTGCTGTCCATCTATTGACTTCATAATAGACTAGAACCGAACGGGCGAGCGAGTTACTACCTCTAAATAGCATTACTATGAGATTGTGAGGTTTGTGTGTGTTCATCCGCCATTCAGCACGTAAAAAACAAGACTAAAATAAGTTGTTAACCACCTGTGCTTATTTGCAGTAATAAAACAGCTAACAAATAATAAGCGTGCACGCAGAAATATTTTACAATCAGTGTTTTTATGCCTTCAACAGTACGATGATGTTCGCCTTTACGTCGAGAACTAGGCAAAAGAGTTAAGAGTAAGAAGTGTGCATGACAGGTTATGGAAATCAGTATAGCGATACATTATGTCAAGGTTTGTGCTACATATATTTTTCACGATGGTGAATTAATGTAATATGTAATGTATGTGATGATGAAACAAAGTCCGGGTCATATTATTCCAGTGATAAGATAAAGCAGGCGAAGCAGTACCAGATCCTACCACTAGATGTCGCCAGTGTCCCTTCTTTAATCGCTGCTGTTGACCAACCAATGGACGAGTACAGTACTTGTTTCAGCCTTTTCTGCTTCGCTACTTATTAAATAGACATACAAAAGGTGTTATGCACGATGTTATTATGACATATATAGGCTACATATATAAAAAGGCATTGGAGAAAGAGGGTAAACTCTGGTAATATTGTTCACAATGTTAAAAACATATTTACTAGTATTTAACTAAGTATTATTTATTTAATTAAACAAAAATATCGTGTGAAAATGTTATGACATTGTCAGCAATTGTATATTAGGAATGTTTTTAAAAATGTGAAAGTTATTAAACGAAACTCTTCGTAAAACAATCACAGCAGTTCATCTTTGTGCCAATGTCTTTTTGCACAATTTGGCAAAACTGCATCTTGAAATCTGGTTTGTATCACATTGTAACTCAATGTTTTGTACTGTATGTCTAAAGCCTTGACTAGACTGGTTTTCTCATATTTGGCTGCTACAAATGAAAATGAAATTCAGATGAAAAGCTTGCATGTAATATGAAAGCTGAAGCATGAAAATCTTCTGAAGATTATTCCAGTTCTGTCTGTTAACTTCCATTAACTTGACTGCTAATCAAACCACAGACCAGATGTTTGTAATGTAGTCCATGAATGACTCTTTTTAAGTGGATCGTTTCCTTTTTACCTTGCCGTGATGATGATGTAACGATAGAGAATATGCACAGATTCTGTATTTATTTATTTATTTATTTATTGTCCCAAGAAAAATAATTTTGTCAAATTTTATGTTAATATTGAAATTCTCAATAATGCTCAGATATGCTGATATATATATATATATATAACTTATAAGTAAGTTAAAGCTTTTGTTCAGCAATAAAGCATTAAATTATTTAAAATTGTCAGTAATACACAATGTTACAAAACACAAATAAATGCTGTTCTTTTGAACTTTTTATTCATCAAAGAATCTTAAAAATAAAAATGTATCACAATTTCCACAAAAAAAATATTAAGCAGCAGAAACTGTTTTCATCAATAATAATAATAAGACCATTATTAATAGGCTGATTGAGCACCGATAATGACGGAGCATCAAATCAGCATATTAGAATGATTTCTGAGTCTGAAAATTCATCTTTACAATCACAGGAATACATTACATGTTAAATAGCCTAGAAAGAAGTTACGTTTCACATTATTAGGCCTACTCTTTTTACTGTAGCCTATGTTTTGATCAAATAAGCGTGTGTAAGTTCAAAAACATAAAAATATGAATTATTCCAAACTTTTTACTTAAACGAAAGCTGGCATGACGTCATGATCGAGCAGGTCTCGCGCAGCTGGATCTTATAAAGGATGGTGATTGGTCCGCAGACGCGCGTGGCTCAAACAGGTGCGTGAGTGTGATGGACCTGCGGCACTTAACCTGCTGCGCGGCGGTGTTTGCCTTACTCTCAGGTAACTTTCTTTTATAAACTTTTATTGGAGCTGGCGGACGGTACTATTTATGCTCCTTAAAGATCCGTCCGATTCTTAAAAAAAAAATAATAATAATAATCGTAATAGTTGGCTACTAATAAATAAAGGAGAACCCGGGGCTAGTTGTCACAAAGCTACATCTCAGTTTTGAGCGAAAGGTCCAGTTTCACAAATGTGTGTGTTTCTGTTGTGGTTGGTTTCGTATGTTGGTTTGAAATCCTCTTAAACTAGAATACTTTATGAATTCTGCCCTTTAAGTTGAAATTCTAATATCACATTTTCGGTATGGCATATTAATATCAAGTAAACTTCACATCATAAAACCATGTAGCCTACCGTTCAGACGTTAGGACGTGATGCTTCAGCAGAAACAGGGACGCTCCAGAGTTTGATTTTCATTTCTGAAAATTAGTGTGAATTATAATGAATCATTCAGAAATTTGATCCATTAAAGATGCTCCTTTTGAACTTTCTATTCAGCAAAGAAACTGGAAAAAAAAATGTATCAAGGTTTCCACAAAAACTGTTTTCAACATTGATAATAATCAGAAATGTTTCTTGAGCAGTAAATCAGCATATTAGAATGATTTCTGAAGATCATGTGATAATGAAGACTGGAGTAATGATCCTGAAAATACAGCTTTGATCACAGAAATAAATTACATTTTAACATGTATTAAACTAGAAAACAGTTGTTTTAAATGGTAGTAATATTTCAGAATATTACTGTTGTTACTGTATCTTAATTGTTACGTTTAATGTTGTAACTTTATTAACTACAATATTTATTGGATAAAGTTTTGTATGTTACATTTTATATTTTTGCTTAATTGTCTCATAATTGTTTACTGCTTAAAACATTGTTGTACGAAGTCAGCATGTGTTCAGATTGTATACGTTCATAGAGATCTTGCCTTTCAATGCCTTGGAAAAGGCTCCTCTTTCATGAGTTTTCACTCAATTCAGAATTCAGCAATGAATCGTTAAATATCAGAGAGCATGTATGTCTTTCAAAATGGCAGGAAGAAACTATATAATCAGCCACACTAATTAAAATCTGTGAAACACAGGTTTTCATATTGTGTTGGTGTTTTCATTTGACCTACAAAACGTATCTGAGATTGTATCCAGTATTGAGTCGTCATATAATCCATATGTGTGAGAAGCCTGTAAAGTGAGTGCCTGCTGTGAATGTTTCAGGTGTTGACGGAGGCTGCAGCAGAAATCAGTGGCAGTGTGATGATGGAGTGTGTGTGTCACACAGATGGCGCTGTGACGGTGTCAGTGACTGCCAGGATGGATCTGATGAGATGGACTGCGGTATGTATCAGACACCATCTGCTCCTGAAAAGTTGTCTTTATGCTCGCTTGTTGAATTAATCAGATTGCATCTGGTTGTTTCTATGCAAGTAGAACACAAATAAACAAGCATATTTCATGCCATTAGTATGTCAGCCTGGAGATGTGGAGTGTGCGGATTGCTCCGGGTGTGTGATTGGGTCGGGTGTTTGTGACGGCCGGCCCCAGTGTCCCGACGCTTCAGATGAGTGGGACTGCAGCAGGCGTTTAGGGTGTCTGTCAGGTGACTGGAAGTGCAAAAACAGCATTTGCATCCCACAAGAGCTTCTCTGCAATGACGTCAACGACTGCGGTGACAACTCTGATGAAGAAACCTGTGGTGAGATGCTCTAACCCTCATTAAACAATGTATGACTGTCAGTGCATTAGATCAACCTGTGACTTTTTGTAGGACCAGTTGTTTAAAATAAATGCAAGAAGAGGCACAGCCTCTAATTATCTGGGCCCTACCAAAAGGGAAATGGGGCAACTAGGGCTGTGCAAAAAAATCGAATGTGATTTTCATGCGCATCTCGTCAGTGTAGTAACTCTCGTCAGTTTCATGCGCAACTACAGCTCTGTGTAGTAAATGCCGCTCCATCTGAAAGCACGTGCTGGAGATTTACTGACGAGATGCGCATGAAAATTCGCATTCGGTTTTTTTGCACAGCCCTAGGGGCAACCTGTTCATAAATGCAAAATAGGAAAGATTCAGATAAATGTATTTAAATGTATTAAAATTTCACATTTTCACATTGCATTTATGATTGTGCATGTAAATGCTTTTATTGTCCTGGTTCCATGTATAGCAAAATTGGGGGTGGAAACCATGTGTCCTGTTGCACTCACATATTCTGTATACTGTAAGCATCCATTGCAGAATTCGATTTACACAAAACATTCATCAACGTATTTCTGTTGATATTTAGAATATCTCTCAGCCTTTTTATTGATGATGTCTAAGAGTCCTGTTATATTTGCCTGATCATGTTTATAGGTTCCTGTGGGAAGATGAACATCCGCTGTCCTGATGGCACATGTCTAACCCCGAGACAGAGGTGTGATGGAGTTGCTCAGTGCTCAGATAAGAGAGATGAGCCTCTTACATGTGGTACATTTAAGACCCTCATTTTTATTTATTTATTTTTTGCTGTAATTTGCTTTGAAGTGTGTTTGACTGATGATGTAGCATATCTCAGACAACAGGGGCCTAGGGCTTAATAAGCCAGGCTTATTTCAGTTAGTCTGACTTATTTTGAACCAAGTCAACTGACTATGTCAGACTAACTGAAATAAACCTGGCTTATTTGGTCAACTTGTTTTATGAAACAGGCCCGAGGTTAGCTTGATTATTTATTTATTTGCATTTCATCCTTATGTGACCTAGGTAAAAGTTGTCATAATGGGAATGGTGGCTGTAGTCATACTTGCATTGACCAGCTTTGGGGGTCTTTGTGCACTTGTCCCACTGGAATGACCCTTTCTGCAAATGGGCTTGATTGTGAAGGTACAGTAGCTGCACTTTTGCCTCCAAGCAGACTATTTTTGGAACTGTGCACTACCATACTAGTCATATAATTTCTGCAATATGCAGCATATGCTGTTCACAATGCTAGGTAATACTGCTTACAATATTGTATCCCACAACGGAATGTGTTTTTAACGTCTCTTTCTTGACATTTGATTGAGCCAGAGCTCAAGATCAAAAAATGAAACAACCATACTTGTTTCTAAGGTAGACCAAATCTGCACCATCAACTTGATACAAATTATGAATTTTCCATAGAATATTTAAAAAAAAATAATAATTCACTTTGACATTTGTGCAACAAAATAAAAGGCAGTTTCATTTGGAAAATTATAATAACAAATTTAATGTTTCGTTTTGAAAATGTAAAAACCCCATATGCTGTACTACATATGAATATGCATCATTGCATTTGGCATATTGCTACATAATAATAATTACTTTTAAGGGTGTATAATTTTAATGTTAAGGAAGGATACAATATATAATGTGTAGTCTATATACTATTAGTTCCAAACATACTCTTAGTATCAACAAATGTTCATTTTCCACTTGATCTCAATAGTAGTCCAAATATAGTGCAGTGTTTTTAGTTTGACTTAAGTATTGTTGCTCCTTTATGCTAGATGTCAATGAGTGTGCCCAGTCTTTCGGACCTTGCATGCACTTGTGCACAAATACACCCGGGTCTTTTCAGTGTCTGTGCCAGAATGGTTTCAAACTTCTTGGCAACGGCTCTTGTGAAGCTCAAGGTAACTTATTGCATGTATTTTCAGATTTTACTATTAATATCAAGTATACACAAAACCAGTAACATCAAACTGTTTTACAAGGAGCCGTGACCAAGATATTGACCACCAGGAAGGGGCTGATTGGGTTAGTGAATGTGAAGACCAGAGTCTATGAGCCGCTCTTTGCAAGTGAGAGCGACCCTATAGCCATGACCTACAATATCCAAAGAAGCTTAATCTACTGGGCTGATAAAGATGGGAATATCTACCAGGCTTTGAACCGGAAGGGCACGATTCTTTATTCAGGTCAGTTGAGTGCTACATCCATGCAAAACTACCTAAATATGTTGGCCTACACCAAAACCTTATGCATTTTTATTTCTCCCCTTATTAGGGCAGTCTGGTTTGCACAGTCTAGCCATCGACTGGCTTACTGGACAACTGTACTGGACGAGTGTTACCCAGAAAGCCATCTACACCGGAGCAGCTGATGGCAGTGCTGTAGGCACGGTCATGTCCAAAGAAATGGACCCGAGAGATATGGTCCTCAGCCCAACTGAGAGGTACAAACTGCTTTTTACTGTATTAGCACAGATTTGAGGAGCACAGTTATGTTTGTTTGTTTTTTCCCCCTGTAGTTTCATATTTTGGATTAATAAAGGAACGAATGACCAGCTAACCATTGAGAGGGTGGAAATGGATGGTTTGAATCGGACTACACTGGTTTTCATTACTGCACAGCTACCAAGGAGTCTTACAATGGATGTGGCAGCGCGCCGGCTGTATTGGATCAGTGTTTACAAAGCGGTGTGTTGTTTGGTCAAAAACCTGAATTTATTGATTGTGTGTTTATATTGAGTTTTTTAAATTGATATTCCAGTCAATTGAGAGCATCAGGACCGACGGCACTGGACGGCATACCTTCTGGGATTTCTTTCAAGGACGTCCTGCGCAGATCTTGGCCGTGTTTAATGGCTGGTTTTATTTGGCCGATGAGAAAAAACTCTGGCAGGCTCCTCAAAATATGTCTTCTGACACACTAAATGGCTTCATCTTAAAAGCCTCGCTTCCTGTCTTGAGCATCTACCATGTGCTTCAGCAGCCCCAAGGTGAATTATTTTTTGCAAATTTGATCATATTGGTTACACCACATCATTGGCTCCGGGCTTTATTGTGTTTTTGGATATAGGTTTTGCACCATGTAAAGACTCAGGCTGCCAGCTGTGTTTGCCCTCCAAGAAAAGTGCTGCTGGGTTCACCTGTCTGTGTCCTGAGGGAGCGCTGCCCATGTCTTGGGGATCTTGTGAAAGTGTGTTGTTTAGAATCCAATATTTAGCATTTTAGTTAAAAATGGGTTGCCTCTTGATAATATGTTCATCTCTTCTCACTGTCAGATTTTAAGGTGGCCTATGCAACAACCACGGCCATATACAGCCTGGTGTTTGCAGGAGAGACTCCTGTGAAAACTGAACTCTTTACTTCAGATGAAGACATCCAGTCCTTTGACATGTATTGGCGGAGAGGATGCGTGGTTTGGTCTAATGGGACGGGCCATGTGAAGACTAACATACAGTCTCAGGACTTGTCTGAGTACATCCTGACTTTAAAACCTGGTATGTTGTTACGGTTTCAATTAAAACCTTGAAACATGCTATAATAATATGAGCACTGATGCCTCTGGGTCAAAATGTCACTGTCCACACTGAATTTTTTATTTTTTTTGAAAATCAGTAAAAACAGAAATTGCTAGTAAATTTCAAAATTAATTACAAAGAATCTGCTAGTGAATTAATCATGAAATTGTGACGTACAAAGGCTGAAATGGTATTTTCAAGTAAACCATGCTTTTAAATGTATTCCTGTACTCTAATCTTTTTTTAATTAAGCTTCGAAAAATAGTTTTTTTAAGTTTAATAATTGGGGAAAAAAGCCTCATTAATTAAATTCTTAAGAAAGTAGTTTGGCATCATTTTGTTACTGTTTTCTAAGAAAAAAATGTAACAATGATTTCATACTTAAGCACTTCTTTTTTTTTATATATATATATATATGAACTTTTTTTTTGACATTGCAAGGTTAGCACCAGACAGTAAAATGTGATGTGGTGCAACATTCCTAAAATCCATAATTATATTTATCAGTTAAAGGGTTAGTTCACCCAAAAATGAAAATTAGCCCATAAATTACTCACCCTCAAGTCATCCTTTTACAAATCCTCGTTTTGTACTTCTAATTCGTGACCGTTGTTTTGTTTTGATCTCTCCGCTGCATTTCCGCGTGCGTCACTTCGGAGTGCATGTGCAGCGCTGAACTCATACGTCATCAGCCCGGAGCTGCTTCAGTTTACATCAGTGAGCGCAAGCTACATTAAAGTGATCATTACGTTTTGAATATGGATATTTTTTTTTACAAAAACGCATCGATTCGCTACAGAAGGCCTTTGTTCACCCCCCAGATTTTTTTTTTTTTTTTTAAATGGATGGGTGCTTTTTATTTAACTTCTTTTGGACTGAAGCATGCAACACCCGCTAAGTGCCATGAAACGGCTTGAAAGATCAAAGACAATTTTAATATAACTCTGACTGGATTCGTCTGAAAGAAGAAAGTCATATACTCCTAGGATGCCACGGGGGTGAGTAATTTATGGGCTAATTTTCATTTTTGGGTGATCTAACCCTTTAATTCATGATATTTGTAAAAGTATTTTTTACCTTAAATATATTAAACTTGTGAAAACTGATACGTATACTCACATGTGTAGATGTAAGGAAAAATGTATTACTTTTTGCTTGATCGTTACACTACATGGCATTTTATCAAAATTATTTTATTGAAACTTTTATTTTTCTAGGGAATTGGCACATTTATTCTCTTTTCTTTATTTAATGTCTTTTTTTATTAATTTTATTGAAGGTTTTTTTTTTTTTATTGTCATGGTCAACGTACAGTGAGAGCATGGGCTCGCGAGGGATCGGCTAATCTTTGGTGTTTGTGTACTTGTGCAAAAAATCAGTTTCTGGCTTGGAGTTTGATTTGAGTTTACATTTTGATTCAGTGCATTGTGGATCGATTTGTTTTGAATACTTAATGGAGATGGCCTAGACACAGACTTTAAACATCTCAGCTATATTTATTCCAGCTCAAAGTAAATAATTCTGACTTCGCTTGTGTCCCTTCCTTTAGCCTGCATCGTCAGAGTTGACCAGAGGACTGGGAATCTGTATTGGCTGGCCTGTGATGAACTTTCCATTGGCGTTTCTACCATTGGCACCCTTGACCAGAGTATCTCCAGACAGCTATATCAAGCCAGAACTGCAATTCTAGACCTCTTTGTGGACTGGCAGAGAGGAAAGCTGTACTGGCTGGAGGGAGGTCAGGTCATGAGAATGAAACTGGGTCTGATTGGTGGAAATGCAGAGGCTATCTTCAGCTTTGAGGAGGATGGAGTTGACCGCATTGTGTTTGATCGTAAAGCAAATGGCTTCCTTTGGAACATGGAGTCTTGTTAGTGGCTTTTCCTTCTGAATTAACTATTAGTCTGCACGTTACTGCACGTTTTCATTGATGTTGTTTGCTTTAGACTTGCAGGTTATGAGTCTACTGAAGATGAGAAGGTACTCGGCTGGTAAAGACTGGGTTGTTCCTGGCTCCATCATGGCTGCTTATGAACCCTACATGGTGACCTTGTTCAATAACATCCTGACAGTGTGGAATCGCAAAGATGGAGCTCGTGTCTCTGGGGTGGCAGTAGAGAATGGAGTTGTTAGCTTATCTGTTGCCCTTAGGGAAGTCCAACAAGGTTTGTATTAGGGCTGCACGATAAATCGCATGCGATATTTAACTCGCATGTTATCAGTAAAGCCGGTTCTGTAATCAGCGGTAAATCTCCATCACGTGCGTGCTTTCACATTGAGCAGCATTAACTACACCGAGCCATTGTTCACCGACGAGCTGCGCAAAACCACGTTCATATTCGCGCGATTTTTTGCGCAGCTCGTCAGTGAACAACGGCTCTGTGTAGTTAATGCTGCTCAATGTGAAAGCCCGCAGGTGATGGAGATTTACCGCTGATTACAGAACCGGCTTTCTGACAAGATGCGCATTAAATATCGCATGCGATTTATCGTGCAGCCCTAGTTTGTATTAATGTTCCTCTGGGTTTCATTTTGTATCTTTATGCTATTATACTTTATTTATTTTTTTGTTTTGTATGCATTTTAGATACAACAGCCGAAGATGTGCGTCCTACTGAGGTGACTTGCAAAAGTCCCCTAGTCATTTGTCATGGATCAACCGTGTGTATCAGTCGATCTCAGCGGTGTGATGGGAACAGAGACTGTCCGGATGGATCTGATGAAGCCTCATGTGTGCACATGTGTGCAAAGCCAGGTATACTTTGACATGCATAGTTCACTCAAAAGTCCATTATTAAAAGACATTTACTAAACTTCATGTTGTTTGAATCCTGTATGATTTTCCTTTTAAGTTTTCTAAATGCTTGAGACCTGTTATACAGCAAGTTATGATGCTGATTTTTTTTAATGTGTAATTTTTCAACCTTAAAATTTCAACTAGCAGTATTTTTAGTATAGACCTGTTTTTGATTTTTGGTTGGATTTTTGGTTTTGTTTGTTTTTAGCTTGGTTTGTTGTCATTAGAAAATCTAGATTGAAAGACGGTGCTCTGTTTCTTCAGGTGACTTCCTGTGTAAGGACGGGAAGAAGTGTGTGGAGAGGGATCTGGTGTGTGACGGCCGCATTTAAAACCTAATATACTCCAAAATATACAAAGTACAAAGACTATACATGTACAAAAGATTATGTAAAAAGAAATATATACCCATACAAAAATCTTGACATACAAACAATTGGAACAGTGCTGAAAGAGGTCTACGTCAATAAAAAAGGCAATTATAACCCAAACAGGGAACCTTAAACACGACTCTAAATCAATATATATGAAAAAAAATATATATAAAATAATACAAAAATTTCTCAAACAAGTGTCACTGACAATGTTTCCTCACAGATCAGTTCCAGTGCGCTCATGGGAGGATGTGTATCGACAGAAAGCGGGTGTGTGACGGCACACCTCAGTGTCAGGATCGTTCTGATGAACTGGACTGTTTCAGTCGCTCGCACGAATGCAAACATCAGTGTGATAATAAAACTCGCTGCATCCCAGAGAGCTTCCTCTGTGACGGAGAGAAAGACTGTGTGGACGCCACTGATGAAGCCAACTCGCAGTGGCAGGATCGCTCTGATGAACTGGACTGTTTCAGTCGCTCACACGAATGCAAACATCAGTGTGATAATAAAACTCGCTGCATCCCAGAGAGCTTCCTCTGTGACGGAGAGAAAGACTGTGTGGACGCCACTGATGAAGCCAACTGCTGTGAGTTTTGAAGATATGGAGTATTTATTTATTTTTTTATCAATTTTTTATTGTTTTGACATTGTTTGTCTGTGCTATTCTGTATATTAAACAATCAGCTTTGCAACAGAAAAAACAAACAAAAAAACAAAGACCATGATAAATTAAATAGAAGTATATCTAAAAAATCATTTAAAATAAAGACAGAAGGGGACAAAGGGATTGAGACATTTAATATAGTGGACAGATTTTCTTTAACCATATTCCAAAAACTGGCAATCCCAAATCATGTGAAAAAAAGTGATATGGAGTATTTTTTTGTTGTATTTGTTTTATTTTTTTTTATGCGTTTTGGGGTTTTTGCCTAATCTATGAATATAGATTCTATTTGAATCTATAGTTTTTCCAAACACCTTTTGATGAGTGAGTTTTCCTCTCTTTCTGTGGGATTTGTTATTCCTGATTGCTCTATGGTAGAGATTTTAAACTCTGTCAGCTGGACCCCTTTCACCTAAAATATTTATTATGCATTTAATATTCAAAATTAAATTAATACCTTATTATTTAGTCTATTAGCCTTAGATCTAGTTCTAGATATAGATCTATAGACCATATATCTAGACTATTGTTTAGTCACGTTTGAATGTTCACGGTTCTCTGATGTCAGTTACATGGCATGCAGATAAACAAAAGATTTCATTCTTTTTAGTGAGTTTTATTTTATTAAATTATTTTAATTTTACATTTATAAATACAACATTTTTATTTTCTGTACAAATATATTTTTATAGACCACAATTTCCAGGTTTTCCTTAGCCAGTGAGTGCTGTTTCATGTTGACTTTAAACTGATGGTTTTGTCACTCTTGTGCTTGACTATAGTAACTAGTAATTTATGCCTATTTTTTTTTTTTAGAGATCGACCGATATATCAATTTACCGATATTTTTCCCGATATGTAAGCATTTTACACTAATTGGATATCGGTTTTGTAATATCGGATTCACCGATAAACGGATGTTTTGAGAATTGCGCACAGGATTGCCATTGCACCATGGCGTCTGAGGGGATAGGAGACAACAACAACGGCATGCACAGGAACTTGATTTACTGTAGTTGGTAAACTTTATTTAACATAACAGCCATTAATGCACAAATTAGATGTATTACATAAATGCCTGATATGCAGTTTATGCAGCTTGGCTCGAAGAAATAGAGACGAACTCACGGAGTCACGTAAAATAATCCGTCAAGTCCTCATGTTTTGTTTGTTATATTTCAATATTCCAGAGAATATTATTCAGTGAATTAACATTATCCAGTGAATTAGTCTTCATTCTTTAGCCTATTAAACAGCTTATAAACCTACTAAAACTAGTTTAAATTGATATGACTCCTTTCATTTATTTTTCTCCATTTGAAAACATTAGACCTTCTACATTTATTTTGCTTATTGTTAATATTAGTGTTGCTGCTGATGCTTTAAATAATTTGTTTTTTTTTTATTGTTGTAATATGAAGATTAAATTTAACATGAAAGACTGGTAATTTTCAACACCTTTTTTATTTATTTATTTTTTATTTATTTTGAACAGTAAATAAATATTGGTTCTACATATCGGTTATCGGGCACATAAACACGCAAATAATTGGTATTGGTATCAGTTATAAAATATCAATATCGGTCGATCACTAATTTTTTTTTGCCCTGTCTGATGCCGACACTGTATTTATTTGTTATATTATCATTTATTGATCAATGATCTATTCGTATTTTCTCTGCACAGCGAAGACTAACAGAGGGGAAGTAAACGTGGTGCCAGTGAACAAAGCAAGCTCAGGTTTTGCACCGTCTCCGCCTCCAGTCTGTACAAGTCCATCTATTATGTGTCCAGGAGCATCATTGTGCATTTCCCAGACTCAGCTGTGTGACGGGAGGAGAGATTGCCCTGATGGTTCTGATGAAGACTCATGCATTGACACTTGTGCAAAACCTGGTAAAGTACTTTAACTTCATTGTAAATTACCTTGATTTTATTTTTGCTGTTGCAAACACAAAGTAAATAGCTGACATCTTTAACATCTAAACCGGTGCTTTGCTAGGTGACTTCCTGTGTAAGGATGGAAGTAAGTGTGTGGAGAGGGATCTGGTGTGTGACGGCCGCTCTCACTGCATTGACGGGTCAGATGAGGTGGGATGTCCCACTGCTTCTGAAACTGTCTCAGCACCATTCAGGTGTCGTGTGGGCTCTAAACCCTGTAAGGACGGACGTGAGTGTGTGCTGTACAGTCATGTGTGTGATGGAGAGATGGACTGTAAAGATGGATCAGATGAGCAGGACTGTGAATATCAGTGTAAAGCAGGTAAAACTCATGTAACTGATCCCTGACTGTCTTCTGTAACTCAAGCGAGTGTCACTGACAATGTTTCCTCACAGATCAGTTCCAGTGCGCTCATGGGAGGATGTGCATCGACAGAAAGCGGGTGTGTGACGGCACACCTCAGTGTCAGGATCGCTCTGATGAACTGGACTGTTTCAGTCGCTCGCTCGAATGCAAACATCAGTGTGATAATAAAACTCGCTGCATCCCAGAGAGCTTCCTCTGTGACGGAGAGAAAGACTGTGTGGACGCCACTGATGAAGCCAACTGCTGTGAGTTTTGAAGATTTTTTTTTTTTCTATTTTTGTCAATTTTATAAAAAAAAAAATTATGGTGCTACAATGTGTTGTTACTGTGAAAATCATCCTGGAAACGCCTTACATTACTGTTTCCTATGGTATAAATCTGGAATAGGTGAAAGTATTGTCATCAAAAAATTACAGGTGTATCTTTAAAGTGGCCATTAGGGATGTTCCGATCAGGATTTTTGCAGCCGATACGGAGTACCGATTTCTTGTCATGGTGATCGGCCGATACTGATGCCAATTCTGATGCTTCAAGCTTAATATAGACTGTTTAATCGGGCGCACGCGCCTGGCCTGAAGTTAACTTCCGGTCTGTGTTTGTTTATCAGTCTGGCTATGGCGCTGGCTACAAACACAGTTAAGGTGATGAGTAGACTGAAGTTGGGCTCAGGTGGTTGTGCTGTGGGATGTGTTTCCCATACATTTATTTATTTGTGGCACTCGCCACAATATCAAAACTGACGGATTTTCCAAAAGGCTTCGTTGAATAAACATGAGCACGTACTGCACGTTTAAAAATCAAAATGAGGTGCGGGTGTTTTTTATATCACTGTATTTCTGAAGGAAGGCTATCTTTAGAAAATTTTCGATGTCATTTTTATTTCATCTTGCATGTTATATGCCTGATAAAGCAGCGTTTGTGAGCTCAGTGCTGCGTTGTGTACAGCCGTTACTGGGGAAACTTCTGTTTCTCCTGCTTTAAAGCACCTCCTGCTGTCAGAGAATGAATTTGCATTTTAATTAAGTCCGTCTGATTTACGCAGCAAACTTATTTTGCTTTTCCTATATCCATGGGCGCTGCGGATAATTCGAGGGTCAGGTAATAAAAAATGCATTCTGATTATTTGCGGCTGGGTCGCGGGTGGACAAAATAAATCATAAATTATGCAAATATTCACTTTTTTTTTTTGTAAGAAATTTTTTCATGAGGCAGACGATTTCGTGTGTGTGTTCGTTCGCCTGTTATCCCTTACGGCTCCGACGAGGTTTTGTTCCGTCCTCGTTTTTGTTCCAACTCACAAAAGACTATTTTTAACCAAGCAGCACGGAGAGCCGCTTCAGAAACGTGCTGCGGCTGGCTGATTAACACAAGCACTGACTAGAGCGGCCACGATCAGCTCCGGTGGCCGTGGAGCCGTAACGCACCGCAGACGTGTGCAGTGATGCACAGATCAGCTCTAACGTCACTGAATTTGCTGTTAAAAATCAATCATCCATTCATCATATCATCATGCAAAACATACACGACAAATAGCGAATTTTTCATTGTTTCTTGAAACGTCATAGCATTTCCACACCAGCGATGACATGACCGTGGCGCCAAATCATTTATGTCCCACGCATCATGTATGTCGTCACGCGTTGACGTCAAGATCGGTTAGTAAGATCGGCCAAGTTAGTTAGTACCGATCGAGTCATAAAATGTGATTATCGGCCGATACCGATCTCCGGCCGATCGATCGGAGCATCCCTAGTGGCCATGCCCTGTTTTTTGCCTGAAGTCCACTAATAATGTTTTAACGAGGTTTCTTGTGCTCAAATAAATTGTAAAAGTTCCCCTTTACCATTACAAAGGCTTTTTTTCCCTCTATAATATATTTTTAAGACTTCCATGCAAATGACCTCTGTTATGATTTGCCTTTTTGCATGTGGAATGAGTAACAGTTTTATTTGTTGTGCTGTGTTTAACCTTTATTAAAACCTGATCTATTTATGTTCACAGCTGAGATTAAAAGAGGGGATATAAATTTGGTGACACTGAACAAAGGCAACAAAGAACAAGGTTTGCAACCTCCACCTCCAGTCTGTAGAAGTCCATCCATGATGTGTCCAGGAACATCATTGTGCATTTCCCAGATTCGACTGTGTGATGGAAAGATAGATTGTCCGGATGGTTCTGATGAAGTTTTGTGCGTAGATGCTTGTTCAAAACCTGGTAAGTCTTTGCTTTATCTTCAGTCTAAATAAATTCTTTTTTTTCCCCAAAGAAAATGCTAAGACATCTGTAATGTTGTGCCAGGTGACTTCCTGTGTAAGGACAGAAGGAAGTGTATTGATGGGAATCTGGTGTGTGACGGCCACTCTCACTGCCTTGACGGCTCTGATGAGATGGCTTGTTACATGGCGGCTAGAAATTCAAAACCGGCACCATTCAGGTGTCGTGTGGGCTCTAAACCCTGTAAGGACGGACGTGAGTGTGTGCTGTACAGTCATGTGTGTGATGGAGAGATGGACTGTAAAGATGGATCAGATGAGCGGGACTGTGAATATCAGTGTAAAGCAGGTAAAACTCATGTAACTGATCCCTGACCGTCTTATGTAACTCAAACGAGTGTCACTGACAATGTTTCCTCACAGATCAGTTCCAGTGCGCTCATGGGAGGATGTGTATTGACAGAAAGCAGGTGTGTGACGGCACACCTCAGTGTCAGGATCGCTCTGATGAACTGGACTGTTTCAGTCGCTCGCACGAATGCAAACATCAGTGTGATAATAAAACTCGTTGCATCCCAGAGAGCTTCCTCTGTGACGGAGAGAAAGACTGTGTGGACGCCACTGATGAAGCCAACTGCTGTGAGTTAACCCAAAATACAGGTTTTATCATGTTAAGTGCATTTTTATATTTATTCCCAGTCAGTGAGTATTTAAAGGAGAACTAATCACTAGCATCACCAAGCGGAATTGCAAACCGGTTTCCCAAGACTGTGTCCCAATAGGTTTCCCAAAAATTCTACATTTCATTGGTTTGACAAACAACTCCAATCCAAACTCACACCACTGGTTGTCATTTTTTTTTCTTCAATTTTCAATCTGTTCACTCATGTGGACAGTTTACCTGAAAAAGCTTTACTGTTTCGATATAAAGCTGGGATGGGTAAAAGTATTCTAACATCAGAAAATTACAGGCATACCTTTTAAAGGGGCTGTATTCTGTTAATTTATTCCTTTGAGTGCCATTAATACTGTTCTATCTGTGGTTCTTGTCAAAATAATTGACCTATCGGTAAGCCCCGCCCCTTTAATTACTGTTGCTAACTCAGACAAACAAACTGAGTAGCCAACTGTCTTACAATGACAGCTGTCACTGTGAAAACCTTGTCCAGATGTTTTTGATAAATTTTGGACATAGGACCACCTCTCATCGAGGAGCATTCAAGCGGGACTAAAATATACCACGGAGGGACATCTAAAATATTTTAAAATGAAATGGTAGGTAACGAGATTATATGGAAGCGAGGGTTTACAGACCACAATGCAAACGGGAGAAGCCTCATGTTACAGCTGTCATGATCGCATATGACAACATGTATCACAGAGTATGATTAAATTAATTTACATTGAACCAAAACATGGAGAGGCACTGAAATGTAGACCTTCGTTTGTGTTTTTGACGTACACCGTGCATGACGAAATATATAACAGTTAGCTGTATAGGTTTGTACATTAGCATGGACTTACTAACTTTAATGTTAGCCAGAGACACCTTGTTGAAGCACAAGATGACATTAACGTTCAGTTGTAGTAGATGAAAATTGTAACTTAATGAGAGTATGACAACCAAAAAATGAAGGTTAAATAATAAAATGAATTAATTGATTCCAGGTATCCTGAGAGGATGGGCAGTGTTACAAGTACCCCAGGCACATCGTTTTACCATTTTTGTAGCATAAACGCCATCAAACTGATGAGAGCTTTGGATCTTCCCATGTTTCTCTATGGCACTGAAACTTAAAGATGTCTGAGTTCCATTCCTCATGCAACTGCCCCGTGCCATTGGCTAATCTGCATTCGAGGGGATGGGCTTACCGATAGGTCAATTGTAACTCTTTTTTTTGCTGCTATACCTTTAGGACCTTTATGATCTCTGTTATGATTAGCTAACCAATTGCATGACCTTTGCATGTGGAATGAATAACATGGTCTTATTTGTTGTTCTGTGTTTAACCTTTAAGCATGCCTGATCGATTTATGTTCACAGCTGAGATTAAAAGAGGGGATATAAATTTGGTGACACTGAACAAAGGAAACGAGGAACAAGGTGTGCAACCTCCACCTCCAGTCTGTAGAAGTCCATCCATGATGTGTCCAGGAACATCATTGTGCATTTCCCAGATTCGACTGTGTGATGGAAAGATAGATTGTCCGGATGGTTCTGATGAAGTTTCGTGCGTAGATGCTTGTTCAAAACCTGGTAAGTCTTTGCTTTATCTTCAGTCTAAATAAATTCTTTTTTTTTCCCCAAAGAAAATGCTAAGACATCTGTAATGTTGTGCCAGGTGACTTCCTGTGTAAGGACAGAAGGAAGTGTATTGATGGGAATCTGGTGTGTGACGGCCACTCTCACTGCCTTGACGGCTCTGATGAGATGGCTTGTTACATGGCAGCTAGAAATTCAAAACCGGCACCATTAAAGTGTCGTGTGGGCTCTAAACCCTGTAAGGACGGACGTGAGTGTGTGCTGTACAGTCATGTGTGTGATGGAGAGATAGACTGTAAAGATGGATCAGATGAGCAGGACTGTGGTCGTCAGTGTCAACCTGGTTAGACGAATCCCAGTACTCTAACCTTCATATCAACATTTTGGCTATTATATCCAAGTAATTGACCTCACTGTGTCCTTTTTCTTCCACCGCAGGGCTGTTCCAGTGTACTTCTGGTGGCAGGTGTATTGAAATGAATCAAGTATGTGATGGGAGTCCTCAGTGTCTGGATAAGTCAGATGAAGCAGGATGCTGGAAACCCTCAAAGAGCTGCAGCATGCGCTGTGACTGGGACACTCACTGTATTCCTAAAGTCTTCATCTGCAATGGGATTAGGGACTGTCTAGATGGCACTGATGAAGCCAACTGTGGTGAGCCAACAGTTCTCCTGAACTTGGAGAAAGCTTAGTTTATCTAAGAATATGTCATAACTGGGTGTAAATTGTTGAAAAACACTGCACAAAAAATGCCAGACAGGGTCAAAATTGGCAATATAAAGTTGTAGAAACTGAGGTAGCTTCTGGTCTTTTCTTTCATATTTTGACAAACATCCAACATTGTATGTGTGCATCTACTGATTCTTCTCGTCACATGTCCAGTGACGTTTCTGAAATCTCTGGGTGTTTCAGGTCTTTCAACATCATACACCTTGCTCAAGGCGACCCCAGTTTATGTCTAGATTGAGAGCAACTTATAAGCCATAGCCATCTTAATGCCCTCAATACCACTTCATTAGTACTGCAGATGACTCTCTTCCTCCTCTCTTGTGATACCCACATTTCTGAAGGCTCTGACTAACAAATGGGCTGTAAATCCTCTGTCCCACCTCCACTAGGAGACCCTTAGTTCTCCATCCAGCCTGCTGACATTCGCTGGACAGTCCTGTGTGTTTGGAGAACTTCCTCTCCAAACAATCTTCCCACATGACTGTCAGCTTCAGCAACACAACCTGCTTGGTAGATTCGGACACAAAGACAATGTCCAATTCCAGGGTAGTGGCTGCAACATCTTGAGGGAACATCAGCTGCTGTTTGAGATCCACCAACAAGTACCTGTTCCCATTTTTGTGGGTTTCATGCTGTCTGCTGCCAACGTTTTAAGGCATAGGTCAGGACACACACTGGCCTTTCCTCCTCACCAAAGACATTAAACACCGTGTTTACACTGGACGCTAGTGGCAAAATACAGTAGAACCCATTATAATCCGTGATGCTGTCTGAATGCGGCACGATGCGACACTACAAATCCCCGACAGTAAACTGATGCCTCGTTCCGTTTATGACGTAACGTTACTGACACAAAGTTCAAATGTTTTGCAACCGTTACTTGTCGCGTCCAGTCTAGACAGCCTCTAGCTGTTGCAGGGTGACGCGACAACTGTATCGTTCGGTGTAGATGCGGTGAGTGAAGCCGAGAGCAAGATATGCCTCGTCATATTTTCTACATTTAGCTTTTGAAAGTCCAGCACCTGCCTGGGTCTGTGCGACTTTGTCTATGGCTTTTCTCTTCCCTTTCACAAACCGATCCATCTCCCATTCTAAGTTACGTCCGTTGGCTGTTTACAGGGTTTTTTTTTTTTTTTTCTGCTGCTGCCCTTCCTTTCACCACCCCTATGGACTCCTCGGCCCACTTTCACCTGCCTCCTGTTTCACAGCCTTTCTTCTGCCTCCTTAACAGCCTCCTCAGCCCACCTCTAGCCAGTCCTCACTTGGATCCCTGATTTAGCCACCTTTGGATCTTTGGTCTAAACCAAAATGGACTACAGTGGGAGTGGACCAAACTTCAAAAGTGTGACTTTACTAGTCAATCAGTAGTTGCTCGTTACTTTCCAACATTAACTCAATATCAGTGTTATGCTCCACTTTCCATATACATTGTCTGGTGGAAGAATTAAATATTACCCAAAACTGTAATAACCTTATAAGATTCCACCTGCTCCATGTTTTGTGACAGCTGTTTCCAGACCAGCTCAGACAAGCTGTAAGAGTCCCTCAGTACTGTGTCCGGGAACGTCAGTATGTGTGTCTCGGGCTCAGCTGTGTGACGGCAGAAGAGACTGTCCCGATGGATCTGATGAAGCTTCTTGTATAGATGCATGTGCTGCTCCAGGTAAAATAACTGAACTTCTCTCAGCTGAAAACAAAACTGCTTTTGTGGTTTAAGAAGCTTTGGTTGGTTTACTCTAGTTTAGTTCGTCTCTCACCCTGATTAGCCCAAAACCCTTCTAAAACTATCAAACAAATCTTGCGTAAAGACCAGCAAAAACCACCTTTCTCATTCTCCTTTTCCTTTTCTTTCTCCTCCTTCACCCTAACCTTATACTTTTTTGGCTTTTCTTCAACCCTTGTTCTTCTCTTCCTCCTTGTTCTTTTCCTACTCTTTCTCCTCCTCCTCTTCTTCCTCCTTGATCTTTCCTCCTCCTTATGTTTGTTCTTCCCTTTCTCCTGCTCGTCCTTCTCGATCCTCTAGTTCTCCTTCAACCATTGTTCTTCTCCTACTTGTTCCTCCTCCTACTTATTCTTCTTTCTCCTGCTCCTCCTCCTCCTCCTCCTCTTTACCTTCTTCTAGTTCTTCTCCTTGTCCTTCTGTACCTCCTGCTCCTTATTCTTTTCGTCCTTGTTGATGTTCTCATCCTCCACCAGCACCACCACCTCCTTCTCTGTGCTCCCCCTCCTTGTTCCTCTCTTTGTTCTTGTTGTTCTCCTTCTCCTTCTCCTGCTTCTTATTCTTATCCTCCTTCACTTTCTCCATCTTGTTTTTTGCCGTCTTGTTCATCTCCTCTCTTCTCTTTCTCCTTGCTCTCCTCCCTTCTTTCTCCTTGCTCTCCTCCTCCTCGTTGTTGTTGTTATTGTCCTTCTCCTTGTTCTTCTCCTACTTGTTCTTCCCTTTCTCCTGCTCCTCTTCCTCTACCTCTTTTGTGTTCCTCTTTATTCGTTGTCATTCTCCTCTCTTCTTTCTCCTTGTTCTGTTCCATCTTGTTGTTGTCCTCCTTGTTCTTGTTCTTCCTTTTTCTCTGCTCCCCCTTTACCGCTTTTGTTCTGCTCCCCTTTCTCCTTGTTCCTCTCTCTTCGTTGTTCTCTTCCTCCTGCTCCTCCCCCTTTACCTCTTTCGTTCACCTCCTTGTTCCAATCTCTTCATTGTTCTTCTCCTCATGCTCCTTGTTCTTATCCTCCTTCACTTTCTCCACCTCTTTTTTTTTTTTTTTTTTTTTTTTTTTTTTTTTTTTTTTTTTTTTTATTACTCCCATTTCTTGTTTTTCTACTTCTCCAGCAGGTCATTATACCAAAGAGACATGTCATGACTTATGCCTAATATGCTGTTTTGTATTCATACAGGTGACTTTCTGTGTGAGGACAGGAGGAAGTGTATTGAGGAATCTCTAGTCTGTGATGGGCGCGCTCACTGCCTTGATGGTTCTGATGAGGTGGGATGTTCTACCATAGCAACTAAAACCACAACCACTGCACCCTTCAAGTGTCGTGTGGGCACTAAACCCTGTAAGGACGGACGTGAGTGTGTACTGTACAGTCATGTGTGTGATGGAGAGATGGACTGTAAGGACGGATCTGATGAAGAACATTGTGAACTTCAGTGCAATCCAGGTGAGATGCAATCACGATTTCACAGTCTCAACCCTGACCCATTTTTGACAATATTGACTAAAGGCTGGAATACACTATACAACTTTTGCCCAGATTTTTGCACCGATTTACAATCTGGACAAGTTGACGCCAGCTGCCAAATTTCAGACCCAGTCTCCAGATCTGAATTGAGAGATTTCATGTAAAGTCTCATAGTGTATGATGGCTTTTTTTTTTTTAAACTTAAGGATGATTTCATCCAGTTGGAAAATATCCAAATATCAAATATTTTAGAATGTCCTTCAGAATGTTACAGTATTTTTGGAATATCACTATATAATATATGATATTAAATATATAATGTTTAAAGAGTCACACTTAAAGAGACTTACACTTATGTGTTTTACAGGGATGTTTCAGTGTATTCGGGGGAAGAAGTGTATTGACTTCCGGCAGGTGTGTGATGGGACTCCTCAGTGTCCGGATCACTCGGATGAAGCAGGCTGCTGGAAACCCACTAAGAGCTGCAGCATCCGCTGCGATGGGAACAGCCGCTGTATCCCAGAGGTGTTCATCTGTAACGGTATGAGGGACTGCTGGGATGGCTCAGATGAGGCAGACTGTGGTGAGTTTGCTGTAGAAGCATCAGAAATTATACATTTGCTTCTACATATGGGATCTAAAAAGTGATGAGCAGGTTTTGCACCACTGTTGACACCAAAAGAAGAAAAAGGAAAGCGTCAGCTTTCTAATGATATGATGCGTCTGCTCCAGTCTGGGAGATATAATCATTTAAATCCTTTTTTTACTTCACAGCATAATAAAATGTGTTTCTGGGTCAATGCGACTCAAATTGATTTAGCACAGCACATATTACTTCACTAAATGGTAATAAATTCAAGTTGAATTTTTTTTTTTTTAAGCTATGCCCACTCCACCATCACCTTGTAAAAGCCCTTACGTGGCTTGTCAAGGGACGTCGCTGTGCATCCTGCAGCAATACCTGTGTGATGGGAGAAAAGACTGTCCTGATGGCTCTGATGAGAGACCGTGTCTTCGTAACTGCCCATATCGCAGTAATGAACACATTTGTTTTTGTTTTTTACTGGTAACATGCCTTGCTTGGGATAAAGTTCTTGCTGTCTTACAGCTTCACAATTACATTTTCTGCCAGGTGATTTCATGTGTAAAGACAGGACAAAGTGTGTTAAGAGGGATCTGGTGTGTGATGGTCGTTCTCACTGCCTTGACCGTTCGGATGAGATGGGATGTGCCACTACAGCACCTAAAACTTCAACCACAGTGCTGTTAAAGTGTCGTGTGGGCTCTAAACCCTGTAAGGACGGACGTGAGTGTGTGCTGTACAGTCATGTGTGTGATGGAGAGATGGACTGTAAAGATGGATCGGACGAAGCTGACTGCGTTTTTAATTGTAAAGCAGGTAGTTTAGCCGGAGATCATTTTATACAGACAAACAAACACTTCATAATCAAAAGGATAATTTTATGTGTAAGTAATAATAGTGTAAGTTGTTTGAGGTGTTTATTTTATTTGTACTTATTTCTGTATTTATATTCATATGTATTTGTCTTTATTTTTATATATATATCTATAATGTTTATGAAATGTTTATCTATTTGTTTTCTTGCTATCTGTTGATTTGTTTATATTCTTTAGTTTCTTATTTGTGTATTTATATTATTTCTTTATTTACAATTGTTTCATCACAGTGGCACTGAAGTTATACCTTTCATATGATATTTATGAGGAGAGACTTGGTAAAAACTGTGTCCTGTTTATTACTGATTTAAAATCTCTGACTTGGTGGTTTTGTTGTTCCTCAGGGGAATTTCAGTGTGCCCATGGGAGAAAATGCATAGACTCAAAACTATTGTGCGATGGCAAACCACAATGTCAGGATTTTTCTGATGAGAGGGACTGCTTCATTCGCAGCAAGAGCTGCAGCCATCGCTGTGACAACAAAACCCGCTGCATCCCAGAAAACTTCCTGTGTGACGGAGAGAAAGACTGTGTGGACGGCACTGATGAGTCTGACTGCGGTGGGAATCGTTCCTTCTGTGCTATATGTGATTTGAGCTTACGAATTTAAAGGGGTCATATGATGCGATTTCAATTTTTCCTTTCTCTTTGGAGTGTTACAAGCTCTTGGTGCATAAAGAAGATCTGTAAAGTTGCAAAGACTAAAGTCTCAAATCCAAAGAGATATTCTTTATAAAAGTTAAGAGTCAGCCACGCCTACCTAAAACGGCTCGTTCTAACACGCCCCCACATATCTACATCACTATGTGGGAAGATTTGCATAACACCGCCCAAATGTTCACGCAAATAAAGAAAGCGTAACTTTTATTCTCGCTGTAGTATTGTTGTTGCCGCCGCCGCCATGTCGTGAAGGCGCTGTGTGCTTCGTTATGCAACGCAACGCGTAAAAAGACAGTATAAGTCATAATCCATAATTATGTCCCCACTGGATGCAACAAATGCCTCGTTTATAATGGGTTTTCATGTTTTTGTCTTGTCGCTCCGGCCGGACACGGCATCACAGTAATGGAGGGGCGTAACATTTCCGTCACATGCTTGAGGTATTCGGCCAATCACAACGCACTGGATAGCTGGCCAATCACAGCACACCTCGCTTTTCAGACCGATGAGCTTTGTAAAAATCGACGCGTTTCAGAAAGGCGGGACATAGAGGAGAAACAATAATGTACAGTATGTGGAAAATAATGTGTTTTTTAACCTTAAACCACATAAACACATTTCATTACACCAAATACACAAAATAATGTTCTTTTTAGCAACATCATATGACCCCTTTAATTAAAATAATCAATTTTAATGGTTTTGTCTTCAGGGTACCCCACAAAGGTGGTGAAGTGTGAGAGTCCTGCTGTGTTGTGTCGTGACGGGTCGCTGTGCATCCCTCACACCATGCTCTGTGATGGCAAGAGAGACTGTCCTGATGGATATGATGAAACGTTTTGCTTAGACAGATGTCCAAACACAGGTACTCAGTTTACTTCCTTAATTGTACAAAATATGGCTATATTAAAGCATGTGTAGTCGCAATTATTTTTTTTTCTTTTCTTATAGGTGACTTCCTGTGTAAGGACAGGAAGAAGTGTGTGGAGAGGGATCTGGTGTGTGATGGCCGCTCTCACTGCATTGACGGGTCAGATGAGGTGGGATGTCCCACTGCTTCTGAAACTGTCTCAGCACCATTCAGGTGTCGTGTGGGCTCTAAACCCTGTAAGGACGGACGTGAGTGTGTGCTGTACAGTCATGTGTGTGATGGAGAGATGGACTGTAAAGATGGATCAGATGAACAGGACTGTGAATATCAGTGTAAAGCAGGTAAAACTCATGTAACTGATCCCTGACTGTCTTCTGTAACTCAAACAAGTGTCACTGACAATGTTTCTTCACAGATCAGTTCCAGTGCGCTCATGGGAGGATGTGTATTGACAGAAAGCAGGTGTGTGACGGCACACCGCAGTGTCAGGATCGCTCTGATGAACTGGACTGTTTCAGTCGCTCACACGAATGCAAACATCAGTGTGATAATAAAACTCGCTGCATCCCAGAGAGCTTCCTCTGTGACGGAGAGAAAGACTGTGTGGATGCCACTGATGAAGCCAACTGTGGTAAGTGTTTTAACTCCTTGATTATGGAAATTAAATACCGAACCTAAGTTTTAATTTTTTTTTTTTTTTAGTTACTATAAATTCTATTTTTTAAGTTATGTAAAATGTATTTATCACCATTTATTTATTCACTATTTGTTTAGAAATTTATCACATTAACTTTTTATTCTTTTTCACAGTTTATTTTACCATTTTATCACCATATAATTAAAAAAAAGGACAAACTCCTTTTTTTATTTTTTTATATATAAAGGAAATTCCTCATATATATATATGTGTGTGTGTGTGTGTGTGTTTAGGAACCTTAAGTGCAGCAGAAATTTTTTTGTAACCTTGGCCAGATCTGTGCCTTGCCACAATTCTGTCTCTGAGCTCTTCAGGCAGTTCCTTTGACCTCATGATTCTCATTTGCTCTGACATGCACTGTGAGCTGTAAGGTCTTATATAGACAGGTGTGTGGCTTTCCTAATCAAGTCCAATCAGTATAATCAAACACAGCTGGACTCAAATGAAGGTGTAGAACCATCTCAAGGATGATCAGAAGAAATGGACAGCACCTGAGTTAAATATATGAGTGTCACAGCAAAGGGTCTGAATACTTAGGACCATGTGATATTTCAGTTTTTCTTTTTTAATAAAACTGCAAAAATGTCAACAATTCTGTGTTTTTCTGTCAATATGGGGTGCTGTGTGTACATTAATGAGGAAAAAAAATTAACTTAAATGATTTTAGCAAATGGCTGCAATATAACAGAGTGAAAAATTTAAGGGGGTCTGAATACTTTCCGTACCCACTGTATATATGCGATAGACATACAATTTATTTATTAAACTTTTTTTATTTTTTGGCATGAAAATCTGAGGTAAAAGAACTTTTAATCTTTATAGGATGATATGTCTGATTTTATGATAAAGGAAATCCCTTGATATATTTAAAAAATGTATTTAATTTAGTTTTTTTTTTTTTTAAAGAATTTACATTTATAAAAGAAAATAAAGGCTAAGACGTTAACTGTACTCATTGATTTGTTTTGTAGCTCCTACTACTAGCCCGTCCATCACAGACCAGCCAGTCTGCTTTAGCCCTTCTGTGTTTTGTCATGAAACCTCAAAATGCATCTCACAGTCCCAGCTGTGTGATGGAAAGGCTGACTGTCCCAGTGGAGCTGATGAGCAGTTTTGCATATATTCATGTCCAGATCCAGGTAACAGATGGAATTTTTCCTTTTCTTAAATGTTATATTTAAAAGTCAATTCCGAAATGATGACTCTGTACTCCAATCAGGCCAGTTTCTGTGCAAGGACAGACGGAAGTGTGTTGAGCGAGCCCTGGTGTGCGACGGCCAGCCACACTGTGCTGATGGGTCGGATGAGAAACAGTGCCCCACCTGTGCTTTGCTTTGTGACCAGAAGAGGGTGTGTCTGACTAGCCAGCAGCTTTGTGACAGAAAACCAGACTGTAGAGACGGTTCAGATGAGAAAAACTGCTGTAAGTCCGTGTGCATGCATAAATACCTTTTATTTTATTTTTTATTTTTTTTAGTGAGTGAAATGAGTTGAGAGTTGTATGATTTAAATTTTTGGGGAACTATTTGTTTAATTGCAACTTTCCAATCGATTTTTTTTTTCTTTTCTTTTTTTTTTTTTTTCAACTTTAGACACTGGTCGTGTGGTCGCAAGTGCTGCATTACCTCTGAAATGTTCCTTGGGATCCAAACCTTGTAGTGATGGGAAAGAGTGTGTCCTGTACAGCCATGTGTGTGATGGGGAGAAAGATTGCAAAGATGGGTCTGATGAGAGGAACTGTGAACGTAAATGTAAAAAAGGTACAATAGAAATACAATTTATCCTTATTTGATGAGGAATTAAACTGGACAAATTTATATATTTTATTAATTCAACCTTCTAGGCCAGTTCCAATGCGCTCACGGCAGAAAGTGTATAGACATGAAGCTTGTGTGTGACGGCACACCTCAGTGTCAGGACCGATCAGATGAAATCAACTGTATGAAGCTCTCAGAGGAGTGCAGGCACCCGTGTGACAACAAAACCCGCTGCGTTCCTGAAACCTTCCTCTGTGACGGAGAGAGAGACTGTGCGGATGGCACTGATGAAGTCAACTGTGGTAGGTCAATGGCATGAAGTGTTTATGGTAGCAAGTTAATGGATAAGGATCTGGGTTCCATCTCAAAGACTCAGGTACTGATGAGTATTATGGCGCTTTTCCACTGCATGGTACGGTACAGCTCGGTACGGTTCACTTTTGGGGGGTTTTCCACTGGGTAGAGTATCTGGTACCTGGTACTTTTTTTTTAGTACCACTTCGGTTGGGGTTCCAAGTGAACCGTACCATTACCAAAACGTGACGTGTAAACTCTGCTGATCACGGATTGGCCGGAGAGAATCGTCACTACCTGCGTCACTGAACTTGCGACACAAACACAAAAGAGCCGCTAGATTTAAATCAGCACAGCCAGCAAAGGATTGAATGCAACTGTTTTGAAAGAGCGCACCTTTTTTTTTTAACAACCAAAAAGTTTTGTCTGTTGCGGAAGAACAGACGTTCCTCTCGTTGATAGCAGAGGAGCGGATCCAGTGAGAGCTTGATGGGGCGATGCGGAATGAAAATTTTTTTTTTAGGAGTCGTGGTAGTAGAGGCGGCGCAACTATAACGACATGTGAATAATCCCACCCACTCTAAAGCGGTACTGATCTGCAGTGGAAACGCAAACCGTGCCGAGCCGAACCGTGCCGTACTGAGCCGTACCAAGCCAAGTCGTACCACGCAGTGGAAAAGCGCCATTAGATCGTCTTGATCCATCAAGACTTTGCCCTTGAACAAGGCAGTAAACGGTAATTCAGTTTAATTCCAGAAAAATTGACTTGGGTTAGAATACAAAATATCTTATGGAAATGCAGGCTGTTGAAATGGCATCATTCATGAAATGAGCAGAGTGTTAATGATTTATTATTTTATCACCATTTATTTTATCGCAATTTCTGTTTTTTTATGTACATTACATTTACATTTAGTCATTTAGCAGGTGCTTTTTGCCCATCCCACTGCAACTCGTGTTTTTAAATGAAAAATATACTGTGTAATTGGCTTTCGGCCCTTTGTATTAAACTATGCATGCATACATTATGCTGTTTTGTTTATAGTTGTTTAAGCAACTTATAATTAGTTTATAAACATTATTTTAAACATTATGCACTTTTTTCACACATAGTCATGTTATCTTATGTTTTGCTTGATGCGCCCTCTTGTGGCCTCAGGAGAGAAGCCAAATGCTTTTCTTCCCCCTAACTGAAATTATGCATATTAAATTAGAATATAATTCGAATTTTGATAATATTTAAGTACAAAATTCAAATTTAGTTTTTCAGCCATTTTGACAGCCCTGGTTGGAAACACAAGCAGTTCTGTCTTGGCGAGGTTGAGTTGAAGGTGATGGTCCTTCATCCAGCAAGAAATGTCTGTTAGACAAGCTGAGATGCGAGTAGCTATCGTCGGATCATCAGGATGGAATGAGAGGTAGAGTTGAGTGTCATCAGCATAGCAGTGATATGAAAAGCCATGTTTCTGAATGACAGAACCTAGTGATGCCATTTAGACAGGGAAAAGAAGTGGTCCAAGAACTGAGCCCTGGTGCGGTTCCTGAGATGCCATTTTCCAATAGGGTTGACGGGAGGATCTTGTGGTTAACCATGTCAAGAGCAGCGGACGGATCCAGCAAGATAAGTATTGAAGATTTGGAATCCGCTCTTGCCAGTCTTAGGGCTTCAACAACTGAGAGCAAGGCAGTTTAGAATGAAAATCCACTTCTGAAACCAGACTGGTTGCTGTCCAGGATGTTGTTCTGTGTGAGAAAGGCAGAGACTTGGTTGAACAGAAGCTTGTTCAAGTGTTTTTGCAATGAAATGAAGGGAAACCGGTCTGTAGTTCTCTAAAAGAGTTGGATTAAGAGTGGGTTTCTTAAGTAGTGGGGTTATAAGAGCCTGCTTAAATGCTGAGGGAAAAACACCAATGTGAAGGGATGTTAATGATGTGAGTGAGTGCAGGGACAATTGCAGGAGAAATGGCTTGAAGGAGATGAGATGGAATAGGATCAAGCGTACAAGTAGTAGGATGATTAGAAAGGATGCATTTGGAGATTTGTGTCTCAGAAAGTTGGGAGAACGATGTGAACGAGTGTATGTTTGCTGGTAAGATGTGCTTGACCGTTTGTGGTGTGGAGAATTGTGCACTGATGGTTTTAATTTTATCAATTAAGAACATGGCAAAGTCGTCAGCTGTTAGTAGGGCATGCAGTTGCATCAAACAATGGTATAAACATCATTCAATGTAAATTGTGATAATTGTAATTAATAATCGCAATTACAATTTCAAGGGAATAATCGACAATTATGATTTTTGTCATAATCGTGCAGCCTTAGCTGTTAGAGTTGATGAAGCAGGGGGAGGAGGAGGACAAAGAAGGGAGGAAAATGTTTTAAAGAGCATGCGAGGGTTAGACGAATTTATAATTTTGGTGTGATAGTATGTCCTTTTATGCATGACCATTTTTCATCACTTTCTTTTTTGGTTAGGTAAAAGGGGAAACTTTGTTTGTTCTCCATATATTTCTGTTCATTATATTTTTCACCATTTCATGACATTATTTCATTATTCTTCTTGAATATTTATCTCTATTTTTTCACAATTTCATTACTGTCATTTTTTTTTCCTTTATCACCATTTATGTCCATTTGTTTGTTTATTCAATGCTGTTCACCATTTTTCACAATTTTTATCAATTTCTTTGGCATCAAAATCTGAGGAAAATAATAATTTTAATTCTCATGAAAATCTATTTATAGAACAATCTTGTATGATTTTGTATGAAACATGCATGTTTCCAACTGATCATTACTCAAATGGAACATTCTGACATGCTATGTAGGATTCCAGTGTTTTTGTTCATGTGGGGGAAAAAAATGGTGTCTGCTCGGACAAAAGGCTTGTTTTTGCAACTGGTGATCTGTTAACTGAATAGTGTACCTTTTCAAATGGGAATCATCTGGTTCGAATCAATACTTCAGACATTATCATCTTTTTAACACTTTACTTAGTTCAGTTTGGACCGTTTTACTTGCATGTGGACTTTATTCATCCTGCAGTTGTAGAGCCCTGTTCCGATGACTGGTTCCAGTGCAGTAACGGTCAGTGTGTGGCTTTGGCTCTCCGCTGTGATGGGTATGCTGACTGTCGTGATCACTCGGATGAGAAGGGCTGTCCTCAGCCTCCACACTGTCCTGTGGAGCAGCGCTGCCCCCACACGCACGAGTGTCTGCTGAACGAATGGCTCTGTGATGGAGACCAGGACTGCAGTGATGGGTCTGATGAGAGGGTGAGGAACTGCACTGATCCAGTGATCTTGTTCTAAGAGAACCTACTGCTTTTGTTGTGTGTAGTTTTTTTGTTGTTTGTGGCATTTTGTTTGTTCGTATGTGGTATTTATCAGTTATATTTGTGTTTGTAGTATTTTGATTGGTGTTTTGTTTGTGTGGGGTGTATTGTTTGTTTGTGGTGTTTTTGTTTGGTGCTTGCGGTGTGTTATTGGTGTTTTGTTTGTGGTGTTTTGTTTTTGTTTGTGTGTATTGATTTTGCAGTGTCATGGTTTCTGTTGTTTGTGGTGTTTTTGTTTGGTGTTTCTGGTGTGGTGTTGGTGTTTTATTTGGTGTTTGATGTGTGTATATTGTTTGTATGCAGTGTGATGGTTTTTGGTGTTCGTGGCGGTGTTTTGTTTGGTGTTTTTGATGCGTGTGGTGTTTTGTGGTGTTTGTTTGGTGCACGTGGTGTTTTTGCTTGTGGTGTTTTGTTTGATGCATGTGTTTGTGGTGTTTTTTTTTTTTGTGTGTGGTTTTTGGTGTGTTGGTGGTGTTAGTGTTCTGTGGTGTTTGTTTGGTGGACGTGGTGGTTTTGCTTGGGGTTTTTTTTTTGATGCATGTGTTTGTGGTGTTTTTTTTTTTTGTGTGTGGTTTTTGGTGTGTTGGTGGTGTTAGTGTTCTGTGGTGTTTGTTTGGTGCGTGTAGTGTTTGTGGATATTTGTGTGTGTGTGTGGTGTAGTTTGTGGTGTTTTTGTTTGTGTTTGTGGTGTGTTATTGGTGTTTTGGGGTGTGCTGTGGTGGGGGGTTTTTTTTGTGTTGGTGGAGTTTTGCTTGGTGCCTGTGGTGTATTGTTTGGTGTTTGTTGGTGGTGTTTGTGTTATGTTTGTAGTCCTTTGTGTGGTATGGTTGTTTTTTTTGTGTAGTGCCTCTAATACAAGTGTATTTCAAACAAAGTAGACGTGCAAGTAGACATGTATTCAGAAGGTTCAACATGATTGCAAGGTATCCATCTGCACCATACAACCTCTTCTCTTCCGGTTTAGAACTGCAAGGTGACTCCACTGAAGTGTAGAGAGTTCCAGTGGTCGTGTGTATCTAAAACTCAATGCATTGCAACGAACTGGAGGTGTGATGGTGTAAAGGACTGTAAAGATGAGAGTGATGAATCTGGATGTGAGTGGACATTTGAAATCAATTCCTAACTCCATACCAGAATCTGTTCAATAATACTAAAATGTAAAAATTGCTTGTTTTGTAGGTGGTCAGGTGAAATGCCCGACACACTTGTTCCAGTGTGGAAGTGGGGAGTGTGTGGACCCAGATCTGGTGTGCAACAAGGCATCTGACTGTGCAGACGGTTCTGATGAGGGTCTGGGGTGTCTAAAGAACAACTGCTCCAGTCCCAGCCGCCCATCATGCCAGCACTACTGCATCAACACTCCACATGGAGCGGTTAAACATTCATTTATTGCTTTATAGAAAAGCTTTATAATACCCATTGTATTATGCATGAATTATCCAAAACACAAATCATAAATCAAACCAAATGTATATTTTAGCTGTTTGCGTTCCACTAAATCTTGCAAAAATCTGTTAAATTCTGTTGTGTTTCCAGAGATGTGGCTGTAAGACTGGCTTCAGGCTTCAGTCTGACGGTTTAACCTGCAACGACATAAATGAATGTAAAGAGATTCAGCCCGCTGCCTGCAGTCATAAATGCCTCAACACGCTGGGCTCTTACCTGTGTCAATGTGACCCTGAATTTATACTGGAGCCAGATGGCCATAGCTGCAAGACAGCAGGTATCAATCTATAGCAGCTAGCTAGCCTCGTGTAGCCAAACTTTTGATTATCACTGCAAAGTCTGATCCACTTTGCTGATGTTTCTATTCAAGTATTACCAGGAAGTACTTTTTTATTTATTTTATTTTTTTATTTTTTTTATTTTTTGAAAGTGACCAACCACACTTTACACTTTTACATGCCTTTAAGGGATGGTCTCATCTGAAATGGTACAAAAAATATATATATATTTAAAATTAATTAAAATAATTGCACAAATGGGTGCACAGGAGATGCTGAAAATAGTGGAAATGTACATAGACAATATGTACTTGCAATCCAATAGTATTTTTAGTCTTACTATTATTATTCTCTATTAATATTATTGTTCTTATGATTAAGTCATGTTGTTTGTGCAGAGGAACCCAGTCTTTTGATCTCTGAACAGTATGAGCTGTTAAATTTGGGTCTGCGAAGCTCCAGTATTCAAGCTCTCATCGCACCGGGGCGGAAGGCCATCTTCTCTCTGGACTACGACCGGAGAGAGCAGAGGGTATACTGGGTCAGTCTGGAGGAAGAGAGCATCAAATATGCCTTCCACGGAATAAAGGACAACATTGGAACTATTGTCAAAGGTAAAAATAAATAAATAAATCCATACATAAATAAAAGTAGATACAATTATTTTATAGTACAGTATTTTTATTTAAAACTCAATTTACAAAAAAATGTATTACACTTTCATTCTAAAGAACTATTATTAATAATTTTATTTTTTATAGCTAGATTTATTATATATATATATTTACCAAACCAAATCTCCAGGTGCTCTCCTGAGAACCAGACTGAAAAACTTCTGTTCATCCATATAAAAATTTGCAGCAGCCTATATATATATGAAATTGATTCTATTGTAACTTTTTTTTTTTTTTTTTTTTTGGTGATGGAATGATTGGAACACATCAAATGTGACACATTGAAATATGATTCTGCTGGGTCAAACAAATTAATAAATAAACAAAAAATTAAGGCTCAAATGTGAAGTTAAAATAATTTGAAAATAAAAACATTTTACAGAAAAAAGAAATTAACTGACATCAGACAACTGTCAACATTATATGTGAATGCTACATTTTTTAAATATTGCCCTAAAATTTCAGGTCCTTAAACACCATATTTTCTGAAAAATAAATCACTCCTGACTGTAAGCACCAGGTCATTGCATTGATATACTGATGCAACTCATCATTATTTATTTATGTCACATTATTACATTCAGAAATAATGTAAAATACCAGTAAATAAAATGTTAAGGTTTACAAGCATACTATAAACGGGGTTCGTACGGTCATGAAAAACCTGGAAAAGTCATGGAATTTTAAAACCCCAATTTTCAGGCTTGGAAAAGTTTTGGAAAAATAAATAACCCCAGAAAGTTTTGGAAAAGTCATTGAAATCTATTTCACAACACTCTGTATAATAGAATTGTGTTTAATCAGGTCCTGGATTTCGGTGCGGGATTGCGCATAGGCTATATCGCATAGTTTTACTCATTCCCGCAGCTTTTGACTTTAAAATAATGGACATCACACATTTATTCAATAGCCTATAGCATGTAGGGTTGATGAGTAAATAATCAAACCTACAGACTGAGTCCAGTCCACACAGACTGATCAAATCAGTCATTTGAAAACCGCGTGAGTGATTCAGCATAATAGAATTTTGTTTAATCAGGTCCTGAATTTCGGTGCGGGATTGCGCATAGGCTATATCGCATAGTTTTACTCATTCCCGCAGCTTTTGACTTTAAAATAATGGACATCACACATTTATTCAATAGCCTATAGCATGTAGGGTTGATGAGTAAATAATCAAACCTACAGACTGAGCGAAGCCATAAATAAGTTGGGGCCGTTGGGCTCGGGCTGAAATGCAGGGCTCTAAAGCGCAGCTTGTTGCATTTAAGCAGCAAAAATACACACAAAATTACACCAAAATGGCCATCCTGGCCACACAGTTAAATAAATGATAATATTCAGTGATGTGATATGTGAAATGTGGAGTAACGTCTGGCGCAGTTGCAGCTTGTACTTATTACTAAAACAAGAAAGCAAACGAGTAGCATTAATAGTCATTCACTTTAGTTAACATATGCTATGATAATTTTAACAGATTTTTATTCTTATTGTAAAATAATGGAACATTTAGGTCATGAATATTGTCTCAAAAGTCATGGAAATGTATTGGTAAAAATGTGTACGAACCCTGTATAAACTTATTTTTCAGTCCTGTTCTGTTATTAATACCATTCAGTTTAAAGTGTTTTTTGTTTTTGTTTGGTTTTTTTAATTGTAAAGGTTGTGGAGTGAAGTATAAAACGAACAAGTTATAGTGGCCTCCATTATAAATAACATTTGCTTGATGTTAAATTCATTTTGTAAGTTGTTTTGGAATATAGGTTTAAAAAAGAAATGCTAATTATATTCCAAAAAATATGGAAAGTATTTTAGGCCAAAGTCTTCGGCTTACAAAAAAGTTTGGGAATCCCTGCTCTAACCAAAACAATTTTGCACGTTCAGGTGTGAAATCTGACTCCATTGCTATTGACTGGATGGGAAGGAACCTTTACTGGGTGGATGGTGTTGCTGGGCAGATTCTAGCTGTGAGATTGACCAGCAGTATTGTAGAGGCACAAAACTACATAACAGTTGTGGATAAGGATTTGCATCAGCCTCGTTCGCTTGTGCTGCTGCCTCAGAAGGGGTAAGAAGCCCCTCCATGAGTTGGCGCTATTACATGAGTTTTCAGTCTCAGTGTATGGATGCAGATGAATGTTTCCAGATACTGTCTGCAGGATAATGTTCTGGTCCGAGATTGGAGGTCAGGCACAGATCGAGCGCTCTGGCATGGACGGCTCGGACAGGGAGGTGGTGGTCAGCCGTGGTCTCGAGCGGCCTGTCAGCGTGACGGTGGACATATTGACTGACAGACTGTACTGGACTGACGAGAAGCTCCGGTGTATAGGCTCGGCGACGCTGGATGGAGAAAACATAAGGGTAATATGAAATGCTACTGTACTGTACAAACAATAAATGGCACAATCTCAATTTTTTAATCACTTTGTGTTTTGTTTTTCAGTTGCTGCAGCTGTCGGAGATGCCCAGGCTTTTCTCTGTGGCTGTGTTTAATGACATGGTCTACTGGTCTGACACTCGCAGAAGATCCGTTCAAGGTGCCAATAAACTGACTGGCAAGAACCGCAAAGTTCTTCTCAAGAGACCCGGGCAGCCGTTCGACCTCAAAGTGAGAATACATGCTGTACACGTTACTAAATGTCATCACGGTCGTCTTCTACATCAATATATCTTGTGTTACTGAGTGTTTCCCCTCTCTGTTCTGTTCTAGGTTGTCCACCCTCTTTTGCAGCCCAATGTGTCTGGCCCGTGTGAGAAGCTCAGATGTTCTCACGTGTGTTTGCTGGCTCCGGGGCTCAAAGCGGTCTGTCGCTGCCAGGCAGGGCTTCTCTTAGCTGCGGACGGATTCACCTGCGCCACACCTGTGGATTCCTCCTCTTCTTTCCTCATGCTGCTGTCTCCTACCATGATTACACAGGTGCTCCACTCCTGAAGAATGATTTAATAGCTTTCCGTGATTGTAGAGTAAAACCTTTGGAATTACACTGTATATTCTTAATACCTTTTTGCTGGTTTTAAATTCAACATGAAATCAAAATTGACCTTATTTACTTGTATGCCGATTCCTAGTCTTACTGTGAATAATTTATCAGTGCAATAATGTGTAATATTTCATTAATTCATTATTGCATAATTTTTGGTTATTTAGGTATCGCCTAGTTAACCAACAGCCAAATTTGTTTATTTATAAATTGGTAACTAACAAACGAATTATGTTCTAATTAAATTATAATTCAGTTTATTACATTATATTTATAATTACATTAATGTTTAATTAAATGGAATTATTTGCAATTGTAAATTTTATATTTTTTCTGTATAAATGTGTTATTTATAATTGTATTCATAATTTTATTACAAAAAAAAAATATATATATATACTTATATTATAAATCACTTCTAAATTATTTAATATGTATAATTAATATAATTTTTATTAAATGCTAATTAGAGCAATTAAATTATATTTAAACACTTTTATTTATATTTTTTCCATCATTGAATAACTGAATATTCTTTCACTCAAATACACCAAATTCCTAAAATAAAATGATAAAATAGATTAAAAAATGGTTTTTAAATTATTTTAAAAATCTAATTTATACAGGATTTTTTTTTTTTAATAATAGTCAAATTTATTTTTATTATTTTCTTTTTGTAATTTTATTTATTTATTTTGCAAAAAATAAGAAAAAATAAATGGGTTACATTGAGTCACCTGGAATGGAAGTAAGTGTGGCCAATCTGTAAAAATTAAGATACTTGCTGTGAAGCGTAAATATGTATAATGTGTGAACAATTATTCAATTTTATTTTATTTTATTTTATTTTATTTTGATAAATGAAGGATTTTTTTTTTCCAAAATGCCATCGATTAAGCTTCACTTTTACTAATCCCTCAATAATAAGCCGTTGTCCCCTGCTCAGATCTTCACTAAGAGCCTTCAGGCAGGATTCGGGCTGAAGACGTGGCCGGAGCACCGTGCTCTGGCTCTGCCTGCCGTGAATGAAGCTTCAGACTTCGATCTGCTCCGCAAGGACAGCACCATCTCCGTAGCTGACGCCGGACGCGGGTCTGTAGCTCAGCTCAAACTCAGCGGCTCTGGTTTCACACCCATCGGTCACGTGCTTCAGCTCAAAGGAGACCTGGTGACCGCTCTCGCTGTGGACTGGGTCACCCGAAACCTCTACTGGAGCAGTGTTAAGAGCCCCCAGCTTTACGTCACGTCCCCCGGAGGGAAATACACCAGCCTGGTGCTGCCGGCTGAGCTGGAGGGAACCATCTCCATCGCCCTGCACCCTCCCACGGGCCGGCTGTGCTTCACTGCAGTGGGACGGAGGGCAGCCCAATCTCTGCCTCAGGTGGACTGCGCTCACATGGATGGGAGCAATCGCACGCTGCTGTGGCGCAAAGCAAAGATGCCTGCTTCACTTGCCTTTTCTGAGAAAGGAACAACACTGTATTGGGCAGATATTGGTGCGTTAAAAACAAAAATTAAATTACACTTTCCACATTAGGGTACAGATTGATGTCCCAATATTAAAACAAAAATATATTTATATTTTATACATTTACGAAAACAAGGACACTTTCTTTTTTTAGAGAAAACTGCTATGTTCGCTCAAACTAGGCCTGTCCTGCCTTAGTGGTAAAAATCAAAAACTTTTTTATACATACATTTTCAGCTTGAATATATTTTGTGCACAACCCTGTTAGTGCGTTGTTTTTTTTTTTTTTAAAGCATTTTTGGGAAGATATTTTATTTCCTTCGTTTTTACACCGTGTAGTGTTGGCTGTCAAAGTCAACCATTCAAGTTTTCTTTTAATTTCTAGTAGTAGCAGTAGTAGTGCACTAATACATTTTATTTATTTTACATTTGTGTATTTTCATTTGTTTGGGAAATACTCTTCTATAATTGTTGTATTTATTATTCTTGTTATAAAATACATTTTAGTTTATTTTATTTGGAAAATACAAATTTATCTTATTATAAAAGCACTAAAACATTTAATGTTTTATATTTTTTACATGTATTTTCATTTATTTGGGAAATACACTAATTGTAGTATTTATTATTTTTATTCTTGTTATAAAATACATTTTAATTTATTTGAAAAATACAAATTTATCTGTTATTAGGAAAATATATTATTATCATTAATATTAAAAACACTAATACAATTTATTTGTTTTCATCTGAGAAATACGAGTTTATCTAGGACTACAAACTAATATTTTGTCTTTAGCTAGTTTTGTTAAATTAGGCTAACTCTTACTAACTCTTAGGCACTCTTACTTGTGAACTATTTGTTTGCTTTTGTTTTGTTAAAGTTTTGTGATGGAAATCGAATGTCTTATTTCCTGCTGTGGAAATTATCTCTTCCAAACCAATCAATAACAACAGATTTTTTTTCCTTTATCCAAGGCAATGAAATGATTAGCTCTATTAATATGGACGGCTCTAATTATAAGGAGTACAGCACCGGATCTGCCTTCATTGTGTCTTTTGCTCGTGTTGAGAACATCTACTTCTGGATCACTCTGGACAACGGTAACAATCGAAGACCTCCAGAAATCTAGTTTCCACTGAATGCAGTTCTGTGTAGAACCGCTAGATGGCATGAAGCCATCGACTTCCTGTCTTTCAACCTTAAAATATTCTTTAAAAAAAACGTTTTTTTTTTCAAGAACACCTTTGACTCCCAAGTGACTCTCAAAGGAAGCTTGGTCAGTAGTTTATAATTTAATAATTGGAACTACAATTATTCAATTGAGAACTCTTGTTAAACAATTAAATTGTATATGTAGATCAGTCAAATTCATATAAATTAATACCAATATATGCTGAGAAAAATTCCTAACAGAGTATTTGAAGTTTGATTTTTTTTTTTTTT